AATTCTAACCAAAGAGAAGAAGAAGAAGAAAAAAGGAAAAGATATCGAAACGTTAACAAGAAAAAGATCGCTGCTATATACGTACGTATTTTTTTCTTTCCAATCAAATTTTCATACGATGAAAAAGAGAAAAATTTAATATGCTCCTCCTTGGGAGGGGAGACAGAGATAAAAACATAAGATCTCGTGAATTTTGCATCGAACAGCTGGCAAATTTCTACTCCTTCCAACCTTCTCTCTCGGCTGTTTAATTTTTGAAACGGCCATCTAAATTTACGGCAGATAGATGTCCGCGGTATCGTAAAATACGCAAATGATCAAGGGACGATCCCCTCGGAATTTCCCTCCCCTTTCCTCAACACAATTATCCTTTCTATCCTTCGCGTGTGCGTCATTCCACATGCAATTGTTCCCCTGCAAAAGTTGATCTGAACCTATTAGCAATTTCGTCTCGATGTATCTTTTTCGAATTAGAAATTATTTCTTTTCTTTTTTTCTTCTTCTTTTCTTTCCACGCGATTTTCTTTCAGATTTTGACGGAAGGTTGGTGAAGTGTCCTCCTACAAGAGGACGGATAAGAAGATCGTGGAAGACAAAATATACATGTTTGTGTCTCGCGTATAAATTTTTGCAACAATTTCATCATCGAGAAATAAGCAACAAGTTTATCTTTCACGAATGACATTTGTAAACATGTTCGTTTTCTCATGAGTCAATTTTCCAATGAATCTCGATAGTAAGCGGAAGTAGAGATTGCATAAATATTTCTATCTTGTTATTTAAATAAAATAGATGCAAAAAAAGAAAAAGAGAGAAAAGAAAGAGAGAAAAACGACGGAGATCAAAGTGTTGGAATTTGAGGAAAATATTATTTTTTTTCTGTCGATCGTTTCGTTATCTTTCGTTCGATAAATACTCGAATTGGTAATAATTGGATCGTGAAGATGATCTAGAAAAGTTTTGGCCAATTTTCACATCTCTTGCATATTTTGCATTCGATCGATTCACGATTTTTTATTCGAGTCAACGTTAATTATTCGTATATTCGTTATAACATCAGACGCGAAATATGGATAAATTATACGCAATTTGTAATTATGTCATTTTCAATTTGCAAAATTGAAATTAGAATTATATACATTTTGTATATTCATGTTTACAAATATCGTTTTTAAATTGAAATTATATATTCGTATCGATTGTAATTTAATATCGAAATTCATAAGAAAAATATCACAAAATAAACACAGTTAATCAGAAATATTAAGTACCTTAAAATTAAACAATCAATCAATCAAAATTCCGTGAGAAGAGAATAATAAAACTCCTCGAAGATCGATCGAATCTATCATCGAACGAAGAAACGTGCATTGTTATTCTCATTTCCGAGCAAAAATCTGATTAAATTTTCCACCCCTTTAAAGAAAAAATTATAAACCCCTAAATCTCTTACATATTCTTCCCAAAAAATCAACTTTCTCAAATGAAATTCTAGAAAAATATATCAACCGATCCCCTTAAAAACAAACACAAAAAAATCCGAAATTTTATTTTTTGAATATCCAATCGTGATTTAGCGACAAGAAAATCCTCTAATTTCCAACCCCTCGATGCACCAATCCCTCTTAGTGGTCGCTTAGTGGGAAAAAAAAAAAAAAAAAGAAAAATCGGTTGCTCTCCACGCGCAAAATTGAGCGTCACTGTCCAATTTACGATTTATCTGTGGTGACGTGCACGTCGTACATACATGCATGCATGCATGATCGCTCGGTCGCTCGTGAGCGCGATAACGCAGCGCAGTTGGGTCGATGCATTATGCAGTTTTCCGTGCGTTCATTATATTTTTAGACCTTTACGATTGCAAGGTTACAGTTGTGGCGGCTGCCTCCTCTCGTTAATTGCGATTTTTCCGCGGCAATCGTCTTCTACCCGGATAACGACTCCTACGAAACTTTCGCGTTGCGACAGAACTACGTTCTCTCGAGATCGAACGATTTTTGAGATCGTTTATCTTTTTCGCTTCCCGTGGAAATTCGATGTTTGCAGATTGAAACGGAATTTTTCCTTTTTTTTCTTTTTTTTTTTTGGTAAGGAAATATAAAGTAAAGATAGATCGTTAATAATTTTGACAAATTGACAATGATACGAGGAAAATTGAAACTTGTCCAAGATCGAGAGTTGTTCTGAATCTTGGCTAGCCGAAAGGAAGACGCTTGATGCATTTGACACTTTTGCGTTGAGATGATGCACTTAGGAGGAGGGGAAAAAAAATTTGTTGCTTTCACGATCGATGAAGATCGATTCGATGAAGAACGAACGGAATCAAAAGATCGACGCGAATTAACGCTGTTGATCTAAACTAAGCAAAGAAAAATGTAGAAATTTTATCGAGGATACCGAGAGTGCAGACAGATTACAGACAGCGCGAATGCTTTATCAAAGAAATACTCGAATTTTTTCTCTTCTGCCACACGATAACCTTTATTATTTTCCTGAAAGCTCTCTAACTTCCGTTTATATAGAACTCGTGCTATATCTGGAACTAACTGGCGGGCGAATTTTATTTTCCAATCTATTACGTACTTTACAAAAACATGACGAATATTTTATAAAGATTCGAAAATATTCAAACGTTCGAAACTAATCCAAACAATCAAATCCAAACAGAATATATATATATATTCGAAACAACTATTAAATCTTTCTCTTTCCACCAGATCTACATCCTCCCTCCGACGTTTCCAAAAAAAAAAAAACACTATGAATATTTCATCAGGGAATGCTCGCGTCTCAAACTTTCTCCTACGTCCTCTCTTACCTCCGATCGAAAGCAACCGATCCGAGTAACGAAATACCACACATCCAATGTCGAGAACTGCCTCGAAACGAGCGAAAATATATATTTTTTTTCCCCCCCCTTCCTCCCCCCTCGAGAGTTATCGAACCGATCCTTGGAAACGGCCGAATCCCTGTCCCACGCCCGTCCGTTTCCAACATTCGAATTGTCCGTGACGGTTAATCGATGCTCGTTATAAATTGATCGACCGTTTCGCGACGACCCGATCGAATTCGATTGCGTTCCTCCCCCGTGGGAGGGGGGAGGGGCACGAGGCGGGCGGGGGGGTGGACGAAAATTAAAGCTCGATTAAACGCAGAATCACGCGCGGTTTAAACGTCGATCCGGCTTATCCGGGTCGGCCGATCAGAATTCGCGGAAAATGCGGGGCTAAAGTTCCAATGCCACGCCACGCCACGCGGAAACTTACGTGACGAAATACGAATAGAGAGAAAGAAAGAGAGAGAGAGAGAGAGAGAGAGAGAGAGAAGAACCTTACGAAAACTATTTTTGCAACGATTAGCAAGCGATTAACCGATGGTTGGAACGGTGATTCAAGG